TCTGCATTTGCATCCTCATATAGGTGTGAACAAACTTTTTACACACCTGAAGACAGTTGTAAATTAATTTTGAAACCGACTTACGTCAGTTGCCTGCCGTGACACACTACACTGTATTGCAACTCACTGTTGTGCAGAAAGATTAATGAGATTTAACTAAGCAGTACAGCCCCAAAACTCTATCTGATTCATTCTAAATATTCAAATACCACTCACGCATTCTCCTTGTCTCCATGCTTTATTTTGTTGAGAAATCACTTTGACTACACCCCCCCCCCCCCACATTTGTTGCTTAATTTATCTTGAGTAAAGGCAGATGATTCCTATAGCATTTACTTTCTGGTATCCATCTGACCTGAGCTCAGGCATGCAGGCAGTAGGGTGAAGGCTATAGCTTGACGTGATTTTTTTTAAAAAATCATGTCAGCGGAGAAAGATAAAATGTAAATCTGGGAGTAAATATAATAAAAATACGCCACCTTGGGGTTGATTCCAGTAAGAATAAATTATAATAGTATTACATATTGGTAGAACAATTGCCAATTTATAAACTTTATGGGCTGTTCTACCTTACAGTCCTCACAGGTGGAGTTTCCATTTTAGAAAGAAGGCGATACATGACGGTACATTTATAAAACTCAGGCTAAAATTTGGCAATTTTAGCATGTTACGTCTTTTCAGGTTATTTTTTCATTGTATTTTTTACTTTTATTTATAATAATTACATCATTTTCTAGTGAAGAACAAGACAGTCATATCCAGCCTGTGTTTTATACAGTGTATGCTTGTTGTGGTTAATATAGGAATGAGGACCTGTATTTACTTTTTGCTATTTATCAGGTAACTGATAATAATTCTTATTGCTCTATTGTATTTAGTACATCTGTCTGTTACCATTCCCTGAGCTCATTGTGCACCTGTCTAATGCCAGCCATAGCCTCTCTTTCCGTTCATTGTATCCTGATAAAACCATGGCCATACTGTAAAAGGCTTGTTATTAGGATGGCATTCCAAGCTGATGACATCCACGCAAGGTAGTTGGCATGGAAAATAGCTGCAAAGTGCTCTGAGATCTTCCAGAAATGAGAGGCTTTGCTTGGCAGTGTTGGTATAAGAAGATGGTTTTGGCTTGTAGGTTATAGACCTAAGCTTTCAGTTGTGCCAACTGTGTATCTTTCACAGTTTGAAAAGATTTTTTTCTCCATAACGTGCCCTGTGAAAGTACATGCTGGCTCGCAGCACAACTACCAAATGCATTATAAGAACCAAGTTCTATTTTAGTCTGGACAGCTCATACTGGCATCCTTAAATCTCCAGTCCATCTCGCACTATGCTTTTTAGTGGCAGTTCTGAACTGATAGCCCTGCACAGACTTTTAAAAATACACATGCATGTTGCATTTTATGTTTTTTTTTTTTTTTTCAGTACTGTCTTTATCTTTGAACTACATCAGTTTCTCTACTAAAGGAGCTAAAATTTTCTAATTTCCCCTGTTTATGAAAAGATCTTAAAGCAAAACTATAATAAAAAGGTTCAGGAGTACATTGCAACAAGCAGCTGTTGAGGCAATAAGTACTTTGGACAGGTATTTGTTAGGGCTAATTCCCACTATTTGCAGTGACAGACGGTTTACTGCAGTGTTACACAGTGTTAGCTCTCTGTCTATATGTCATTTGTATAAAAGCATATGAGGATACTCATTTTCTGCCTTTCTTCATCCTGAGGTTTATTCGTGTCTCTAAGATTGTTACCTGCAGTACAGTAGGATAATTTATTTTGGGTTCTTTCGTTGTAGGCTATGGTAGTTGTCACGTTTCACATGACTGTCATATTGACTGTCATATGCCTTTAAGTGTTTCTATATTTTGTTTCTGCTCCCCCCTTTCCTTTGGTTTAGTTAATGCTGTATAGATAGCCCTCCCCCTTTCACAGAAATGCATTGCAGCTCTAGACTCATGTCATGGAGCAGGAAACATTATGATCTTTTGACCTATCGAATGTTCATTGTTGTAAGATTCTCTCAGTTTATGGAATAAACTTCACAAGGTCTACAAGATGTCTTAACGATTGAGTCACTGACTGTGGTATCCAACTGAGGTTGAAGCTATCACTATCTCATCATAACTGTAAGTTACAGAGATCACATTATCTATGCTTAGATTGGAGAGACAGAACAGTAGTAGCAAGCAAAATACAGCTACATTTTAAAATGTTTTTTTATTCTAATTATTTTGGGCCAGTTTTCCTTTGTTAATTAAAAAACAAATTAGTACATATCCATTACCATTTACCACCAAATAAAAGCCCAAATTGACCTGAAAAAAAAAAAAACAAGGTATAATCTACCTGGACACAAAGTAGTGTGATGAAATGTACAGTTTTACTAACACATGCCAAAGGTGCAAAATTGTGTTCAGGTGTTAGGATTTGTTTTACCTTTATTATGAAGGGATTAATAAGCTGGCAGACAGGAAGGCCTTGAAAAGGGGAACCTGCGCTTTCTCTACTTGCCTGGTATCTGGTCCAAAAGGCTCATCCACACAAGCTTTGGTCTCTGAAGAGCAGTATGTGTGTGGATTGCCCTTCAGAGAAAGGCGGTGAGGAGGCATGTTTCACCTCCTCATCGTCTGCTTTACCCCCTTGTAGCCCCCACTAGCATTGTTGTGGGGCACTTGCAAAACAGCCCCATTCACTTGAATGGATCATGTTTGGTGGCCGCTACACTTGCAACAGTGCCATAGGGTATTCATTTCTGCTGTGGCATATGTACATTGTGCACATGCGTGGAGTGCTAGCAGAGCAGCCCCATTCATTTCAATAGTTTGCATTCAGCTGCAGCATTTATACATCCCCAGCTGCTGCAGCACATTGCCCTCTTCAGGTTGGCGAATAAGCTGCAGCATTGTAGGTAGCAGCTACCTCCACATTCTTTGCACAGCTTCTGCTTGTGCTGTGTCTCGCTTGTTCCTGGACAAGATCTTCCGCTCAGCTGTACACTTTCCTTGGATTCTGCTATAGAATTCCCCATCCCCAAACATTACCCTCTAGTGACACCCAGGCGCAGTTTTTTTACAACAAAGATACTGTAGATGTCAACCCAGAGCCAAACCGATTCTTCTGAAAAACCATTCTGACAATGGAGTGGTCACTGAAATGTCTGCCCGCAGTTTGCTGAAAGGATTTGGAGCGACTCTGTGCTATTAGGGAAAGAACCAGTGCTGCTGGAACAGCTGTAGGACCAGTTGAAACTATCCACTGTGGCTGGTGGATGAAGTTGAACTTGGCCTGTTTGGGGAGCAGGCTTTGCAATGCTTGTAGTTAAGACTTCTTTCCATTTTCTTTCTTAATACTCAAAAGCACATACTGTATATTTGGAATAAACTATGTCCACCTTTCTCCTCTCTACTGCTAAGTTGAGTGGGCGTGGCTTAAAGTATACATCAGCCCAACATTTTATATTTCTGATAAGTGCCTGCTGAATGTATCCTGTTTTCTTTGTATTTTTTTTTTTTTTGTATGAAATACCTGATATTCCTGCCAGCAACTCTTGCTTTCCTATTAACCACTTGCCCTCCAGAGGATTTATCCCCCCTCCCCTTCCTGACCGTGCCATTTTTTGTGTTACTGCGCTGTTATTTTAACTGACAATTACGCGGTCATGCAACACTGCACCTAAACTAAATTTATGTTCTTTTTTTTCCCACAAATAGAGCTTTCTTTTGGTGGTATTTGATCACCTCTGTGTTTTTTTTTATTTTTGCACTATAAACAAAAAAAGACCGACAATTTTGAAAAAAAAACCAATATTGTTTACTTTTTGCTATCAAACATGTCCAATAAAAAAAAATTAAAAAAATCAAATTTCATCATAAATTTAGGCCAAAATGTATTCTGCTACATGTCTTTGCTAAAAAAAAAAAACCCAATACGTGAAAGTTATAGCGTTTACAAATGGCGGTATATATACTGGAATTTTTTTTTTTTTTCCACTAGTAATGGTGGCGGTCAGCGACTTATAGCGGGACTGTGGCAGGCATTCTGACACGAGGGGGGGGGGAACAGACTTGGTGTCGCTGACATCCCCAGTGACAGCAATACAGTGATCAGTGCTAATAAAAGCACTGACACTGTACTAATGGCACTGGGCAGGAAGGGGTAAACATGAGGGGGGATCAAGTTAACTGTGTGCTGTTTCACATTATGTGTGTGTTGTGTGTGTGCTCTCAACAGTAAGCACACTACTTTGTATGGCTGTGCTATGCAGATCCATACAAAGCAGTGTTCAGAAGCTTACAGGGGAGAGAACTGTATTGTTAAAATACAGTTCTCTCCCCAGTTTGTAATACTCGGCAATCACCGGGTACCAGCGAGTAATCTCCGGCCGGGACCCGGTGATTGACATCCCCAGTAGCCAATAGCGGTGCAGGTAGGTGTCAGTTTTCTAGCTGTGCTAAGAACTTTGCTTGCTCTTCTTCAATAATCAGATTTGTGCTGACACGCGGTCTTTCCCCCCTGCACAGCCATTCACTGGGAAGATCAGTGTTCTATTTCTCCTGCCCCAGCTCTCTAAGCTCCTTGTGCAGCTGAGAACAGAGAAATGTGATCACTTTTAAAAAAGGAAGAAAAAAAAGGTATTTTATATGTATACAAATATGTTTTGCCTTTCATTTCTTTTTTAAGCTGAATGGGTTGTTTTACAAGGTGAGGGTTCACATATATTTTAATAACAAGGTGTTTCTCATCAAAATGTATTTCATTTGCTACTTTGGGTACTATGACAAATGAATAGTGATCAGGGTTACATCTTGACCATCAATACACTTGACCTTAAATCAGAATAGGGCATTTTTAAATATAAAATGATAAACAATGGGCATATTTTTGTGACACAGGAACATATTCTAATTCTACAGTTTTGTTTTTTTTTTTCTTTCTTTTTTTCAGACTGCAGGCTGCTGCAAGGGTTTCTGTATAGGAGAAAGAGCCACCTCCTGGAGCACATGAAGATGGGGGTGAAGACATTTACTCACAGTTCCCCGGCACATAGCCAAGAAATGCTGGGGAAAATTGAATATGTTACGTAATGATGGACACTTCTGTGACATTACCATACGGGTCCAGGATAAGATCTTTCGAGCACACAAAGTGGTGCTGGCGGCCTGCAGCGAATTCTTCCGTACTAAGTTGGTGGGTCAGGCGGAAGAAAGCACCCAATGTGTACTCGACCTGCACCACGTAACGGTGACAGGATTCATCCCCCTGCTGGAGTACGCTTACACAGCTACCCTGTCTATCAATACAGAAAATATTATTGATGTGTTAGCTGCAGCTAGCTACATGCAGATGTTCAGTGTAGCCAGCACATGCTCAGAATTCATGAAGTCCAGCATCTTGTGGAACACTCAACAAGAGAAGGTTCTCGATACTGGACAGGAGAACACAGCAAATTGTAACAACTTCCGAGATGGTAGTCTTTCCCCAGTGTCCTCGGAGTGCAGCGTTGTTGAGAGGACAATTCCTATCTGCCGTGAGTCCCGGCGCAAAAGAAAAAGCTATATTGTCATGTCCCCGGAGAGCCCCTTAAAGTGCGGCACTCAGACTAGTTCTCCACAAGTCCTAAACCCCACTCCTTCTTACACTGAGGCGCGAAGTCAACCTGTGGACTCCTCACACGCTTTCCCCTGGACTTTCCCTTTTGGCATTGATCGACGGTTACAGTCTGAGAAAGTGAAGCAGATTGAGTCCAGAACATTAGAACTTCCTGGACCCTCTGAAGTAACCAGGAGAGTGACAGATTATGTGCCGTGCGAAAGCACTAAAGTCAGTTCTCCACTTGTAATGGAGGAAGATGTGCGGGTCAAGGTGGAGAGGTTGAGTGATGAAGAGGTACACGAAGAGGTGTCTCAGCCTGTTAGTGCATCTCAGAGTTCAGTGAGTGACCAGCAAACTGTCCCTGGCAGTGAGCAAGTGCAGGAAGACCTACTGATCAGCCCCTCAGTCGTCTTCCATAGGTGAGTGCTATATGAATCCTCTGCTTTCCCTATGGCTGCATGCTGCAGAACACCCGTAACAGATGTATAGGTAGAAATCGACTTCTTGAAAGAAGCTCTAGAGCTCTGACTATGTGATTGCTGTACAAGTAGGAAATCTTGACCACTTGCCCTCCAGAGGATTTACCCTCTTCATGACCAGGCCATTTTTTGTGATACTGCACTGCGTTGCTTTAACTGACAATTGTGCGGTCATGCAATGCTGTACATAACTTAAATTTGTCATTTTTTTCCCACAAATAGAGATTTATTTTGGTGGTATTTGATCACCTCTGCATTTTTTTCTTTTATGCGCTATAAGCAAAATAGACCGACAATTTTGAAAATAAAACAATATTTTTGAGTTAGCTATAAAACATATCCAATAAAAAAATGTGAAAAATCTAATTTCTTCATAAATGTTAGCCAAAATGTATTCTAGTACATGTCTTTGCTAAAAATAAAATCCTAATAAGTGTGTATTAATTGGTTTATGTGAAAGTTCTAGGGTCTACAAATGGCGGTATATATACTGTGGGCATTCTGACACTGGGTGGAAACTAACGGTCACTGACATCCCCAGTGACACTAATACAATGATCAGTGCTGATAAAAAGCACTGATACTGTACTAATGACACTGGGCAGGATGGGGTTAACATCTGGGGCGATCAAAGGGTTAACTGTGTGCTGTGTGTGTTTTTACATTGTGTGTTTTTTTACTTAGGAGACATGCTGGTTTGTATCTCTCTGTTGATGCAAAGCAGCATGTCCTTGCTGACAGGAGAGAGATCTGTATTGTTTTTTTATGCACATCTCTCCCCTCAGCCCTGCTGATGATCACCGAGTCCCTGCTGGGACCTGGTGACTGACATCCCTTACAGCCAATAGCGGTGCGGGTAGGGCATGCACCCCCTACCCGGAAATACAAATCACGTATATATACATGATTTTGAGCTGCCATGCCGCCCTGTAGTAGTACTTCTGTTGTAGGGCAGAGGGCAGGTGGTTAATTTACAATGCATGAGGCATTCCAGATATAGGAGGATCCCCATAAACTGGAGTACTCTGTGCCAAAAACATCCCTATCATTGTTGTGTGCTCTGATCCAGGCAGCAATTATTGTAGCAACCTATGCTAATCCGCAAACCTTGTGATATCATGATCTGATAATATTACAGTACTGATCATATTGTTTCTGACAGTTTTTGGTCTGAATAGTGACTGAAAAATCACCAAAATGTATGGCTTCCAATCATGTGTCTACATGGTGATCACATGTGATTTGTTAGTAAACAAACCTCTCCTGGCTCTAGGTGTCACAATGTGTCCACTGGCTTGTTTTTATAGTAAGTCTGCTAGGTTAAGAATATTAAGAACAAAGACTTCCAAAGGTTTATTCTTGCTTGTCCATTCGATCTTTCTTCTATTCCAGAGTACAGCTGCCTAAAGATTCTCTTTACATTCAGCACTTTAGGAAAACTCAATCTTCTGATCTCCCGTTATATTCCTTCTGTCAGTACAGGACACAGTAGAGACAGAAGGGGTAGCAGGAGGAACCACAGCATGTGGCGGAGGACACATGAATCCGACACTTCCAGAGTGTCAGTCTATTCAGGCGGCTGCAGTTCTGGAACAGAATAAAGATCAGAAGAATGGGTGGTGAGACAAGGGAGTATAAACATTCTACTTTGCAGGTCCTGTTTTTTGATTATTTTTTTTTGACTACTTGCCCTCCAGAGGATTTTATTCCCCTCCTGACCAGACTTTTATTTTGCTATTCAGTGCTGCGCTATTTCAACTGGTAATTGCGGTGCTGTACCTAAACAAAATTTATGTCCTTTTTTCTCCACAAATAGAGCTTTCTTTCGGTTGTATTTAAGCACCTGTGCGCTTTCATTTTTTGCGCTATAAACAAAAAAAGACCGAACATTTTGGGGAAAAAAAAAAAATATTTTAATAGCTGAAAGTAAAAAATATATATTTCGTCATACATTTAGGCCAAAATGTATTCTATTACATGTCTTTGGTAAAAAAAAAAAAATCCCAATAAGTGTATATTAATTGCTTTGTGTGAAAGTTATAGCGTCTACAAACTATGGTATAGATACTGCAATTTACACCTTTTTTTGCTATACAGCGCTGCGCTAGTTTAACTGACAATTGTGCGGTCATGCAATACGGTACATAAATGAAATTTATGTCCTATTTTTTTCCCACAATAAATAGAGCTTTCTTTTGGTGGTATTTGATCACCTCTGGGTTTTTTTTTTTTTTTGCACTATAAACAAAAAAAGACCGAAAATGTTGAAAAAAAAAAAAACTATATTTTCTTATTTCTGTCATAAAAAATATCCAATAAAACACAAATTTTGTCATAAATTTAGGCCAAAATGTATTTTTTGCTGTATGTCTTTGGTAAAAATAAAAAATGCAAATAGGTGTATATTAATTGGTTTGTGTGAAAGTTATAGCGTCTATGGTGGTATAGATATTGGAATTGACGTCATTTTTTGCTCTACGGTGCTGTGCTAGTTTGACTGACAATTGTGGTCATGCAATACTGTACATAAATGAAATTTATGTGCTTTTTTTCTCAAAAATAGAGCTTTCTTTTGGTGGTATTTGATCACGCTGGGTTTTTTTTTTTGTCCTCTATAAACAAAAAAAAATACCGAAAATATTTGAAAAACAAAAGCTATTTTCTCATTTCTGTCATAAAAAATCCAAATAAGTCATAAATTTAGGCCAAAATGTATTTTGCTACATGTCTTTCGTAAAAAAAAAGAAAATTCCTAATAACTTCATATTTGACTGCCTATCACATTTCTTGAAGTGCTAAAATACCAGGGCAGTACAAACACCCCCAAATAACCCCTTTTCGGAAAGTAATCACACTAAGCTATCTGCTGTGAGGCATGTTAAGTCCATGGAAGATTTATTTTTTTCTTCACAAATTTTTGGAAAATGACAAACCTTTTTTTTTTTTTTTTTTTTTTTTACTGCACAAAGTTGTCACTTAAATGATATATTGCTTACACATGCCATTATGGAATTACACTCCACCAGCATTCTGCTACTTCTACTGAGTATGGGGATGCCACTTGTTTGAGACTTTTTGGGAGCCTAGCCACATACAGGAGCCAAAATCCAATGACCACTTTGAAAGCCTGAAGGTGCGTAACTTCCTCACTACCTATCACAGTTTTGGAGGCCCTGAAATGCCAGGAGAGCACCAAATCCCCCCCAAATGACCTCTTTTTGGAAAGTAGATACCCTAAGGAATTTAATAAGAGGCATGGCGAGTATTTTGCAGATCTGATTTTTTTTATCACAAGGTTTTGAATAAGAAAAAAAAAAGTAAAAATGTTTTTCTTTTTCTTTCTTCGTTTTCCAAAAACTTGTGGCAACAAATGAGATTTGCAAAATACTCACCATGGCTCATTTGGGGGAGTGGGGGCATTTGATGCCCAGCATTAGAAGTTTAAGCCACACATCACTCACTCTTCTAACCACCTGTAGACCAAGCCTTTTCTGACACTTTTTGTTCATATGGAAAAAGCAGTATTTTTTACTAGGAAATTACTTTGAACCCCCATACATTATATATTGTTTTTAAAGCAGACACCCTAGTGAATAGAATGGTGGGTGCTGCAATTTTTTATGTCACATAGTACTCGGTACAGCTTTTTGTTTTATTTTTTTTTTTTTTTTCAGGCTCAAATTTAAAAAAAAAAATACACTTTTTTTTACTTTTAATGCACAATATTTTGGCCACCTATTTGGTAAAATGTAAAATGATTGTATGCCGAGTAAATAGATAACAAACATGCCATGCTTTAAAACCGCACACGCCCCGTGCAATGGAGACAAACTGCATACATTTTTAATATCCATAGGTGACGCTTTAAAAGTCTTTACAGGCTACCATTTTAGATTTACAGAGGAGGTCTAGTGCTAGAATTACTGCCCTCAATCTAACGTTCATGGCGATACCTCACATGCATGGTGCGGCTGCTGTTTACATACCGGCACGGGGTCAGCTGGGGGGGTGTGAGAGTGTTTTTTTTTTTTTTTCCTCTCTCATAGATTTTTTGATTTACTTTATTATTTTTACACTGTCCCCTCTTCTTTTTTTTTTTTATCACTTTTATTGCTATCACAGGGATTGTAAATATCCCGTGACTGCAATAGGCATTGTCATGTATTCTTTTTTGAGAAATCTAGGGTCTGCAGCTGCGGCCATCATCCTGGTATAACCACACAAAGTTCAGTGATGTACCAGTACGTCACTGGTCCTTGTTGTGTATATATGCTATGTTTTTTTTTTTTTTTATCCAACCTGTGGGCTGAATGAAAAAAAGAGAAGAAATCTCTGCCAGAAAAAGTGTGTGGTATGCCCACTATTAGAATATATCGCCCTGCATCCACCCACTTCTAATGGTGGGCACACATGAAATGTTCTTTCGGGCTGAACGAAAAAAAACAAAAAAAAAAACAGATTCCTCTGTTCACATCGATCGATGTAGATGAAGGAATCTCTGCCAAAAAAAAAAAAAAAAGGTTAAAATTTATGCCGAAGCATAGGGGCTATCCACCCACTGGCCACCTCATGCCCCCATGCTTGGGCATATATGCTCTTTTTTAACTGTGGATAAAAAATCTCATCCAACAGCGCTGCGCACACTTACGTATGTATATTCTGAGAGCAAGACCCTGTTTCTTTCAGAATAAACAGATTGGTGCTGCAGCTGAATGGCATTCTTGCAAAGAAAACAGCAATGGTTAACAATAAAATTGTAACATAACTCGATAACTATTTTTGGTTTGGTTTTTAACTTTTTTTTTTTTTTTTACTTTTTTATGCTTGTTATATGTTTTTATTTTTTTAAACTATAACAGGCAGATGGTAGGGTCTCTCAAAATGTGATAACCAGTTTCCTTACTACCTAACCCTGTGCATATATATATATATATATATATA